TTAAGACAAGAGAGCACCTTATTTACAGACTGTGAGGACAAGAGAGGCAGCAGATTAAGATCTTTTATCTTGTCTTTTAACCATAAAACATCCTACATAGCCTGCTAGTAAGACCAAAGTAATGTGATAATTTTTTTTTTTTTCCTTAAACCAACCAAACATACCTTAAGAGTGGAAGGCATGGCAGAAATTCCTACCCAGACCAGAAGAATATATCAAGATGGAAAGAAGAAACCCAGTCCCCCATGGCAGGGTGGACATCCCAGTGATCTCAGCACTGGAGCAAAGGTCCAGGCAGCTGCTAGCTGAGAACAATGTGGCATCCCACATGTGTCAGCCAGGGTGGTGTTCCCACTTTATTTTTCAGCATTTTTTTATCTTTTGCCTCAGCCAAAGCGAAGGTTTAGAGAATGGTGTTATAGCGAGGGTTAGTTATGTAAGAATGTCAGGCTGAATTAAGGTCTTTTAAGAGAGAACCCAGAGTAGAGTCTGTGGGAATGGAGGGAGCAGACCCTAGCACATTTGAGTGCGTATGAGTGCCTGAAAGAGAGCTTGAACCTGTCCTGGACAGATTACAGTGAGGGCAGCCACCTGCGTACCACCATGGGGTGGGGAGTAGCCAACGGCATACTCCACAGGGGAGTAGTCCTATTTTTGTGGGCGTCCCCATGCTGAGGAAGAACTCCCCAGGCCTGAGTGTCTGCAGGGCTTGACTTACTATCTGTCCCTGCCATTCTTTCTTCTCTCGGTAGAAAGAAGGCTCTTTTTTATTTAGAAATGTTTTAAGAAAGATAGCTTGTGGGCCTCCCAGGTGGCGCAGCGGTAGAGCGCTGGGTTGCGAAGCTGCCCGCGGCCTCTGCAGCGCCGGTTCAATCCCCGGCTGCTCCCCGGCCACCGGAGGAGGGTCCCACATGGTGCGCAGACCTCTCCTGCCGCCCGCTGCTCCCCTCAGCAGTGTACTTCGGTCCTTCTGCCTGCTCTGCTCCCCGCTCTGGCTCTGGTGAATTCTCTCACCCTCCCGCGCTTCTGACTGTACCCAGTGCATGTATAAACAAAACAAACAAACAAGCAAAACAAATAAATAAAGAAAAAAAAAAAAAAAAAAAGAAAGATAGCTTGTACTTGGCCCACGTATGGCTAATCTTAATACCAGTTAACAAAGAAACCTGTTGGCATTTAGTAAGATGATTTACAATGGAGGACCAGAGGCCTATCTCTGACACTGGGGGATCTAAAATAGCTTACTGGGGTTGTCTTAGTCCCTCATGAGTCTTAAAGTTAAGGCAGACATAACAAAAATTTTAACCAAAGGGAGGAAATATGGTCTCCATAGCAAGGAAAGGCGACTATCAAGAGTACCTGTGATGTAGGAAGGCACCTATAAGATAAGGATTTGAAGAGGGGGAGCTCAGAGGGGGAGCTCTGCCTGAGCAAGAAAAAGACTGGGGCCTTCCTGGTGGTGCAAGGGGTTAAGCACCCCACTATGAAGCAATCCGCAGCCTCTGCAGCATGAGTTCAATCCCCGGCCAGCCAGGGAGCAGCCCACATGGCACAGCAGACCTCTCCTGTCTCCCCGCTGCTCCCCTTAGCAGTGTATTTCAGTGGATCTGCCTGTTCTGTACCCCGCTCTGTCTCTGGTGAATCCTCTCACCCCTGCATCTCCGGCCTGAACCCCAGCTCTTATATGCACAAATAAATAAATCTTTTAAAAAAAGGCTGGATGGGTTTCTGGCTACTTACAGTTTGTTGACTTGTAGTTGATTGCCATGAAAAGGAAGCAGTGAAAGGTTGTAGTTCAAGTTAGGGAAGAGCAGTAGATGAGAGTGATGCCGGCGTGTGTAACAACTGCTGCCGCTTTACCAGGAGTTCTTGTCTGGCGAAACCGTAGAAAGGAATTCACAGACTTTTTGGAGTAAGTAAGCAGAGAGAGACAAATCTTGTCTTTGAAAGAAAAGTTTATTTAGGAAGAACAGAGACAAAGAAGAAAGACTCCCAGGTGTAAAGTACCTGGGAGGGGCCAAGATGAGCCAGTACAGGATATTACTTTAGGAATATATACTTTCTCTCATTATGTTAAAATTTCAGTCTCTCTTCCTGATTGGCTAACTGGGGAATTTCACATTCCTTATCTAACAGTGTTTTCTTTCCCCATTTGTTATGCTTATCGCTTTACCTTTATGGTCTAGTCCTCCTGGTGAGCATCTTTACATTTTATCTTATCATCTAAAAAAAACCAGGACCATCCTTAACAAGATTGTCTGTGGTCCTAGGATGTTTGTTTTTCCCCTATTGTTAACAGTGGTCCTAGGATGTTTGTTTTTCCCAGTGGAATTGGTTGCATTTCCTTGGTTGTCCTTATCTCTGAAGCCTCCCTAAATTCTTCAGAGGTCCCCTCCTGCACTGTCCCTAAAACTGCCTAATAACCCTAGCTAGCCCTGTCTCAAGAGGTTGTGAAAAGCAGGTCAAGCTCTCGTTTCTACAATCCTAAAGAGTGGAGAGCCACTGGGTGGGACATGTGGGTGCTTGTTACAAGTTCCTGTGTTGCTGTACCCTTTGTCTTGGTGGGATTAGAGCTAACCCGGGGTGCACACCAACTTAACCTTTCACAGAGTCTTCTAGAAAGTGGCAGCTGGCCCTAATGACCTCTTACATGGCTGAACCATAACCACTATATTTTTGCTGCAAGAGCGAGACCTAGTTTGAAGACAGAACTCAGGAGCCAGCTCTTTGCCCAAGGTAGAGAGGGAATGGCGGCTCAACTGAGATTGATTAGAAGCAATAGTGAGGCAAAGAGAGGCATGAGGCATTCACCTGGTAAGGCCAAGGGCAGCTGGAAGGTTGTACCTTCACATTTTGGGACCCGCCAAAGAGTAGCCTTGGCCTGAGCCCCTCAGTCCTTGTAGGACAGTCACTCGCCGAACATCAACTCCTCTCACGAGGTTGTAATAGCATGAAGATAGAGAAAACTGGAGAAATCTTACTGATGCCGTGAAAAACCAAATGTTGGGTGCCAAAATGATGTTGGCACCAAATGACGTGAAGAGCCCCATGCTGGGCGCCAAAATGATGTGGTTTTGTAGAGTGCGGGGTTCTTGGGTTCACTCTGGGAAAGTTGTCACCAGAGCTCCCATTGCAGCAGCACGTGATGAGTTTCCCAGGCGTACTTCTCCACAAGGCAGAGACATTAGTTATATTTAAAGAGCGGGTTTATTAGGGAAAGGGACAAGTTTGCTGAGAGAGGCCTGTAGGCGGGCGGCCTTGATAGGTCACAGGCAAGCAGGAGGCTGCTGCCCTAAAGAGGGGAGAGTTGGTAAAAAGAGGCACCTGCACAGTCACAGGTGGGCAGTGGGAGTGCTGCCCTGACCCAGTGCAGAGACTGCACTGATACAGTCCTTTTCTCTTTGGGAGAGGCTCACCCCTCCGTGAAGTGGCCTGCTTGTTGCTGATGTTGGGTAACAGGCAAAACCAGGAAGGGACCAGAGAGTCCAGGATGGGCCCAATCTCCATATCTTTACCCTCAGGTCTGTGCTCCACGCCCTATAGCATCTGATCCTGCTTGGGTTTCCTGTCTTTTGACAAGACACTGGTGCCTAAGGATCCCGATTGCTACAGTTCAGTTAATGGTCATATTATTTCTCTCTAAACCCACCTTGTGTGAGTCAGGTTCTGGTCTTGGGGCACCTCCTTTCCAGTCTTTGTATTCTTGTCCTCCATCGGTAGGACTGTACATGAATACTGTAGAGACAGTATGAACAGTTTGAATCCTCATAAAATACTGTAAATTCATACAGAAATATAGAGTACGTTAATGCATATTTATGTCATTATTTGATTTATGCTTTTTATTATATAAAATGACCTAATACATCCTGGTTGTAAACAATTCGATATAGCATGAAAAAGTCTTCTTTAAATTCCTTTGCCTCTGCCCTCTTCCTTCCTGGAAATACCTTACCTATTTTGGAGACAGGTAGAGGGAGAAATCCTTCTAAACCTCTTTCTGTGCTTTTAATGTTTACATTAGTGGTGTCATGCTTTTGTATTGCTACCAACCTGCTTTTACCTGCTTTACTGAATAAGTCTTTGACTATTAATTTGTCAGTGTTATGTGGACATATGTCTTATCCTTTTAAAGTTGCATGGTATGGATAGATTGTATATTTAATCATTCTCCTAATTTTGAATTTAGATTTTGTTAATTTTCCCTCAGTATTTCCTCATTTCCAACAACATTGAAATAAACATTCCTAGGAATGTTTATAAACAACTAAGAATAAACATTCATAGTACATCTTTTTTTTAAATGTTTTTATAGAACTAGTCCTCTAGGCTACATTGCTAGAAGTGAAATTGTTAGCTATTGGGAATGTGCATTTAGGATTTTAATGGTATTGCCAAATTCCTTTAGTCCTTTGTCTTTTAATATATTATGAACATTTTCAACTTTACAAAAAATAGACTGGTACAGTGGACATCATCAAAATTCCATTACCCAGTTCAACAATTATCAAAGTTTTGTTACACTTTTCTGTTTTTGAGCAGATCCCAGATGCCACGTCATTTTATTCCTACATGCTTCAGTGCATATCTCTTCAAAATAACAGTCCTTTCTAAAGCAGGGGTGAATTCCTCTTTCTATGAGGTTTGTGTGTGTTTCCCTCTTGATAACATTGACACCAGCCCATGTCACGCTTATACCCTTGAGAATCAGCTGAGCCAATATCTGTTAGCTTTTATTTAAGGAGAACATTTTTTTGGTTTATAGAAGTATTCTGGAATTTGCATCACATTCTCTTGTAGGTAGTGTAATGGTTAACAGATCTAAAACACAGGTAGAGTCACTACTTGAAAGGAGTCGTCATGGAGAAAACATGAACGGGCTGGTGTGCTACTTTTACTCATATTCTCTGTCACAAAGCTGAGGTTGTTACTTTGCCAAATATTTGCATTCCACATGGTGAATTACTTTTAGTGACTTGTGTATTCTGGATTTGTTGTAGACTTTCGAGACAGCCGTGCAAGAGAATGTCAGCATTAATGGGCAAGCGTGGCAGGAGGCATCTGATGACTGCTATATGGGTATGTGACTGAACTTTTCCTTCTGTCATTAATTTCAGAGTTACCTTCTTAGTTAATTTTATTTTGAAGGCTTTTTTTTTTTTAAAAGATTTATTTATTTATACAAAAACCAGAGTACAGGCCAGATCTGCAGGAGGGTGAGAGGATTCACCAGAGACAGCAGGGAACAGAACAGGTAGACTGATGAAATACACTGCTGAGGGGAGCAGCGGGCGCGACAGGAGAGGTCTGTTGCACCATGTGGGACCCTCGCCAGCCGGCCGGGATCAAACCAGTGCTGCAAAAGCTGCGGACAGTTTCACAGCGTGGCACTCAACCACCTGCGCCACCAGGGGAGGCCCTTGAATGTTGTTTTTAACCCCCACTTTCAGTGTCTTTTTTTTTTTTTAAAGATTTATTTATTATGCATACAAGAACTGGGCTCCAGGCCCAAGGTTGGCAGGGGAGGGCGGTGAGAGGATTCAGCAGAGACAAAGAACAGGCAGACTGACTGAAATGCACTGTTGGAGCAGCTGGCAAGTCAGGAGAGGTCTGCTGCACCATGTGGGTAGCTCCCTCGCCGCCCGGGGATCAAACTCGTGCTGCAGAGGCTGTGGATAGCTTCACACTGCTGTGCTTAACCCCTTGTGCCACCAGAGAGACCCTTCTTTTTTTTTTTTTTTGCATAGAAGAACTGGGGTGCAGGCCAGAGGTTTTGGGGAGGGGGAGTGAGAGGATGCATCAGAGACAAAGCAGAGAGCAGAAGAGCAAATTTACTGAAATACACAGTTGAGGGGAGCAGTGAGGAAACAGGAGAGGTCTCCTGTGCCATGTGGGTAGCTCTCTGGCCGGGATCGAACTCAGGGCACAGCGGTGGTAGCCTAAGAATTAACCCCTACGATACCAGGGAGACCCCCAGTATCACTTTTTTCCAAAAGTTCCTTTACTGAGGGATAAATGAGAAAACTCGTGTAGCAGACTCTGAAGTCATAATCTAAGGCAAAACACACAGCTCCCTCGACCTTCCTACATGCTGTCTGGCATCCTCAGCAGGACTTTCAACTGGTTACTCTTCAAATGCACCCTTGGCAACAGTTTGTTGGAAAGTACTGTAGAACCATCTGCAATCAAAAAAAACAGGTTGAGAAAATTTCTGTGTTAATACCTTATAAGCCAAGTTGTATTTTTGTGAGTGATCCTTAGGTAGGCACGTGCCTTTAGAACAGGAAGTTAAACCATATGCTTGTCATATAAGGGGTGACGTCAGTGTTTAAAGAAAGTGCCTTAACGGACAATACTCCTGGTTTGAAGCTGACTTGGTTACACATTAACTAATGGTGTTGACATAGCTAAGGAAATTGAAGTCTTGAGAGAAATTAAAAAGTCCTTATAGGAAGAAAAAGCACTGAGTAGGCAGGGAAGGCTGAGTGCGGAAGAGAGGGAGAGCTCTCCGGAGTGGCCGGGAGGAGGGTGGATAGAAGGCCTGGGCATCTCCCTGTGCCTGACGGGTTTAGTGTGGTGACACTGCTGGCTGTTTGCGTTATCCATCTGGTCACGCCCAGCAGGTGACTCTCTGGTTATTTTTCTTTTGAGCATTAAGATAATACTTTGCCCAGAAGACTTTACTCTCCAGGTCTTGGGGTTACCACAGTTGTCTCTTCAAAGTCATGGAACTCCCTTTGTGGTTTATATAGCAAAACAGTTAAACAGCAGTGGGCTCCCAGATAGCATCAGAGAGCCCGACTGCCAGCGAGTCGGCGGGAGGGCAGCGTCAGACGCCCTCGGTGCATCTTCAGATTGCGCCGCCGTTTGCTGTGTTGTTGTCCATGACTCTTGTTCTGTGAAGTCTGTGGACTAGCTTCTTGTCTCTCCAGACAGCTTTAAGAAGACTGTTCATCAATTTGGAGGCTGAGAGAGGTCTTTTCTGACAGGGTGGCTGCCTGGTGGAGGGTGACTGTTCTTCCCCCCCATAACTGCATAGGGAAGCTGTTGAGGACACTGTGCCTTCTTTCATGGCACCTGATGAGCCCTAGTCCCAGATCCCGGGGAACAGATGGAAGGACTGGCCCTTAGCATTGAGGAGCTCATTGTTCTCTGAAGGAAATGGACAAGGAATCACTGTGTTCCTTGGAAAGCAGGAAAGGCTCTAACAATAAGTTGTTGAGAAATGCTTTTAGTAAAGGAGTGTGTGCTAGGCACAGAGGGGAGGGAGAAATCAGCAGAGAAACCAACATGTCCATATCACAAAGGAGTGATGTGTTTAGAAAATGAGTTAAGGGGCTTCCCTGATGGCGCAGGGGTTGAGGCTCAGGCTATCACTGCTATAGCCTGTGTTTGATCCCTGGCCAGGGAGCTGACCCACATAGGGTGCAGCAGACCTCTCCTGTCTCACCGACTGCTCCCCACAGCAGTATATTTCAGTGGATCTGCCCTTTCTGCTCCCCATCCTGTCTCTAGTGAATCCTCTCACCCCCTGCACCTCTGGCCTGTACTCCAGTTCTTGTATGCATAAGTAAATAAAATAAAAATTTTAAAAAAAAGGAAATGAGTTGGGAAACTGATGGCAGATATGGCCAGAAAGGTAAGCAGGGTCCAGATCAGAGTGCCCTAGGAGATACTGGGGCATTTTCATTTTATCCGTAGATCATGGGGAACCAGTGATGTTTTTTATTTTTTTTTATTTTATTGTTTTTTAAAGATTTATTTATTTATGCATACAAGAGCTGGGGTTCAGACCAGAGATGCGGGGAGTGAGAGGATTCACTAGAACAGAGTGGGGAGCAGAACAGGCAGATGTACTGAAACCCACTGCTTAGGGGAGCAGCGGGCAGTCAGGAAAGGTCTGCTGCACCATATGCGTAGCTCCCTGGCTGGGGATCGAACTGCTGCAGAGGCTGTGGATTGCTTAATAGTGTGGTGCTTAACCCCTTGCGCCACCAGGGAGGCCCCAGTGATGGTTTTTAAACTAGAGCACATGAAAAGGTTTGTCTTTCAGCTAGCTGACTGCCTTGGGGGGGGAGGGGCGGGGGGAGGGAGGTGGGCTGGGGTGGGAGGAAATTCAAGGCAGGTGGTCCTTTGGGAGGTTACTGCAGTAGTGCAGCACGAAGATGAAGCCCTGCCCTGAGGCTGAAAATGGAAGAAAAACGCAGGTTCAAGAGATGCTCAGCAAGTAGAATTAATAGAATTTGGGTTCAATTGAGTATCTAGGAACAGTACGGAGGTGTCACAGGGCTGAATTTTTTTCTGTTTACTCACTGAGATCATTGTCTCGGGTGAAAGAATGAAGGAAGGAATCCCTTCTCTGCTCCTGCATCAGGCCCTCGTGGGCCTCACCTTGGGAGGCTGGGCCGGGACATGGAAGTGCCAGGCGCATGTGCCTTCATGGGGCTCCCCTTGTCCTCTGAACTTTCCACGCTTGGCCTGGCGCTGGGCACAGGTGCACTGAAAGTCTGCTGAATGAAGGATTGATCCCTCCTTGCTCAAATTGTTAATGTATTTAGTTTTGTAGCTTTATCATTAGGTGGCACTGAAAACCATTTTTCTCCTTACAAAGAACATTTAGCTGGGAGACCTTTTTTTAAAAGTGATTGTGAAATAGTACGTATTTCCTTTCAGGCCAGTGATTTAACTTTTTTAATGGAAAAATTGAAATTTAGCAAGGGTTGTTTATTTAAATGAAGATTCGATGTAAAAAAATGATAATATAATATTCTCAGAAGGAACTTAGATGTAATGACTATTGTAGCTCACTAATTTTTATATAACAAAAGCGGATACATAATCAGTGTCTCAGAATGTTTCTAAAAATACATACTGTTTTTCAGACTTCTCCCTAGTGAAAATCCCCTCTACAGAATAGTAGATCCACTCACTTGTAGCACAGACATTCACTTAGCAGAACACAGACTGCTGGGGACCTAGCTCTTTAGGATTAACTACTTAATATTTTTTAGCCTTCAGAGTGATTTTAAAATAAGTGATGTATTAGGGCCTCCCTGGTGGCGTAGGCAGTTGAGCGCCACACTGTGATGCTGTCTTCAACCTTTGCAGTGCGGGTTCTATCCCTGGCCGGCCGGCAAGAATCCCACGTGGTGCGGCAGACCTCTCCTGTCTTGCCCACTGCTCCCCTCAGCAGTGTATTTCTTCAGTCTGCCTGTTCTGTTCCCTACTCTGTCTGGTGAATCCTCTCACCCTCCCACGCATCTGGCCTGTACCCCAGTTCTTGTATTAAAAAAAAAAAAAGAAAAAAATAAGTGATGTATCACCTGCATTTATGCCATCTGTGGTGCTTAATCTCTGGGGCCCATCCTGGAGACTTACTGAGCCATCGTGTCAGGTCTTGCTCCTTCATTCACTGCTGCTGCCATGGCTTGGGGTCAGCACATGCTTAAGTCAACACTTGCTGAATTAGATGCCATTTGGGGTCTCGTTCTTTCATCTTTTGTACTCCTCCTTGCCTTACCTGTCATCCTGCAGACATGTAGGACTTTTCCCTGTCCCAAGGACTCTGATCTTGTGGATATTATTTCTTCTGCTTGCAAAGCTTTTCTTATCTTCCCCCCTACTTTTTTTTTTTCATCCAGTCAATAACAGTACACAAGGCCCAGCTCACATGCTGTTCTCTTTGAAGTCTCCAGGCAAAGTTAGTGTCCCAGTGGCAGTCCAGTCATACCTCTGTTGCTTTTATCCAGTTACTTTGCAATTATCTGTCTCTTCCAGCATACTGTGAGCTCCTGGAGAACAGGAATCGTGTCACGTTCATCTTTACATATTTCAGAATTAGGCCTGACTTCCTGTCGATGCTCAATAATTGATTGTTCAATGAGTAAATGAATCAAGTCACCAAAGTGGGGACATCTGTTAACTTGCCATAGTTCTTTTCCTTAGTTATTTTGCATTGTTTACATTCCATTTCCATATACAATACACCCAATATGTTTTAAGGAACTTTTATGACGACTTTTATTTCTCTTGAAATAGATTCGTATATCAAAGTTCTTGAAGACCAGTTTGATGCAGTCATCGTCGATTTAGCCACAAAACGCAAGCAGTATCCCAGAAAGATCCGTGAATGTGTCATCAAAACCATAAAAGCAAAAGAAGAAATCCTGGTAAGACAATTTGCCTTCGAGTTTACTAAATTTTATATTAGTTCTATTCTACCGCAATAACAAAAAATTAAATTTTAATTTTTAATTAAATTAAAAAGATTTAATTTTAATAAGATCCATGTGGAACAAATGATATTTTGTCTTTAGTGCCTCAGTTACTGCTGCTTGCCTCTTTTAGGACTTTCTTGCTCTAAGTCACACTAGGTTTTGCACATGACTGATATTAAAAGAGTATTTGAAGATGGAAGACTCTAATTCTGAGAGTAGGAAGGAAAACGAAATTTATCTCTTGCTTTTTCTACTTGTTATTTGTGTTTGGCCCAATATGTGTGTATGTTTATGTATCTTGGAGGAGCCTCTAGTTAAATTGGCAGTGAAGAGTGATACCGTTTATACCACTGAAATTTGCTTTCTGAACTGTGTAATTTGATCTGCTTCAGAAATCGTGATGGATGAGGAGCTGGCTTGCTGGAATGGCCTTGCCTGTGGGGGGAGGACAAGGACAAGGGTCTGTGAGCAGGTGGTCCCCTTTGTCCTTAGTTTTGCTGTTAGCATATTTTCACATCTCCGTCTCCCAGAGGCTGTCCTTTCTAGGGCAGTAAAGGCAGGGACTTTATGCAAAACATTGTAGTTATCATTCTATGAGAAAAAAGACTTGTATGTAGAATTTTTCATTTTTTTTCTTCCATCATAGTTAATACTCAAACAAAACAATACCCAACTACCTTCCTCCCTTTTAAAATTTCTTCAAGAAAAAAATATTCAAAATGTGTTTCTTTTCCAGTGTCTCCCTCGGTGTTCCTATCCTCCCCCCCCTGCTCCCCAGATGCCCTATTAATCAGTGCTGCTGGGAAAGCGTGGGGTTGGGAGATGCTGCTGGGGAGCTGAGAAGTGCCCAGGGCGTGAGGAAGACAGAGCCAGCTCTCAGGAAACCTCCTCACTCCTGCTGGTTCGGGCGAGTGCAGGGAGGGACATTTTCCTCCTCTTATCTGCCTGAATCTGGGCCCCAGGCCTGCTGCTTGCCTTCCTAGGCATTTCGGAACCTGGGCTTTAGTGAGCTGACTGGTGGTCGCCAAGCTGCTTTGGAACTGGTGTGTGGGAGTGTGAGCTCAGAGTCCCAAATGCCTGTCTTGCCATGGACAGTTCATTCATAATTTGGAGGCTACCCTGTACAATTACACGGGATTCCATCTATGTCTGTCCTGTGCTGTTGCTTTTTTCTTAAACCCTTTTTTGTGGTTGTGGTGCTGTTTCTTAATGTACCAACAGGTGGTGTCACTGTGAAAGGAATAATTAGATTGAGTTTGAGCTGATCTTTTCTCTGTTCCCTAGAGATTTCAGCAATTTTTTGCAAATGCTGATATTACTGATTATGAAGTATTTAGTTACATTGGCTGGAGGAAATGTTTTTATGAGACAGTAAATGGTTAAATTAAATATGCTTTAATTTACATTGTTTAGAAGCAGTATCATCCTGTCATACATCCATTGGATCTAAAGTGTGACCCTGATCCAGGTGAGTCATTGTTTATCTGTGGTAAAAATGAAGCCTTAGCTTGTAATCTTTATGAGTTCCTGATATTCCATGCCTTTTTGGGTGTTTCTGGACTTCCTCTTTCATTGTATGGGTTGACTTGGTTGTGTCTGTCCCATTACCACACTTTTTAAGTTACTGTTTTTAAGGTTTTTTTTTAAAAAGATTTATTTATTTATGCATGCAAGAACTGGGGTACAGACCAGAGGTGGGCGGGGGGTGAGAGGAGTGGGGAGCAGAACAGGGGATTGACTGAAACACACTGCTGAGGGGAGCAATGGGTGAGACAGGAGAGGTCTGCTGTGCCATGTGGGCGCTACCTGGCTGGGGATCGAACTGGTGCTGCAGTGGCAGTAGTTAGCTTCATAGGTTGCGTCTTAACCCCTTGCACCACCAGGGAGGCCCTGTTTTTAAGTTTTATAAGAAATCTTGATTATCTTATAATTTCTTAAAAATTTTATTGTCTGCTCTTGGCCCTTGACTCTTTCACAGGAATTGTTCAGATCAATTTATTAAATTATATGAATAGTCTTATTGGGATTTAATTGAAATTGCATTTAATTTATAGATTAATTTGGAGAGAAGTACCAGGTTACAATATGGTGGCTCCCATTTGTGAACATAAGACCTTGCTCTGACGACCTTGCTCTGGTGTTTCAAGAGCAGATTTCTCGACGTTGGGTTTTATTATTATTTTTTAAATATTTATTTATTTATTTATTTATACAAGAGCCAGGATATAGGCCAGAATCGTGGGAGGGTGAGAGCATTCACCAGAGACAGAGCGGGGAACAGAACAGGCAGACTGATGAAATACACTGCTGAGGGGAGCAGCGGGCGAGACAGGAGAGGTCTACTCGCCATGTGGGTTGCTCTGAGGCTGGCGGGGATCGAACCGGCATTGCAGATGCTGCGGACAGCTTCACAGTGCGGTGCTCAACCTCTGTGCCACCAGGGGAGGCCTATGATGTGGGTTTTATACCTCGTTTCCTTACCCTACATACTCGGCCTTTTTGTAACTGTTGCAGCGGATGACATTTGGATCACACATTACAATTGAGCATTGTTGGTGTTTAGGAACACCACTGATTTTTATTTTCTGAACTCTTAGCTAGTTCTAATCGTTTTATTTTTTTTAGGATTTATTTAATTTTTAATGCATATAAGAACTGGGGTGTTGGCCAGGGGTGTGTGAGGGGCAGAAGGGGAGAGGATTTGCCAGAGACAGAGTGGGGAGCAGAACATGCAGATTGACTGAAATACACTGCTGAGGGGAGCAGCAGGAAGTCAGGAGAGGTCTGCTGCACCATGGGGTCAGCTCCCTGGCCAGGGATCGAACTCATGCTGCAGTGGCTGCATAGCTTCACGTGCTGAGACTCAATCCCGTGCGCCACCAGGGAGGCCCAAGTTCTAATAGTTTTAATTTCAATTGGATTTTTAAAGGGGAGGTGATCATATGCAAGTAATGGCGGTTTTATCTTTTTCCTGATCTTACTTCACATCTTTTCTCTCTCATTGCATTGTTTCAGAATTCCAGTGTGATTTGGATTAGCAGTGATGATGTTGATCTGTTAAAGAATAAATACTCAGTTTTACCAAACTTCTTTTCCATCAGTTGAAACTATGCATTTGTTTAACTAACATTATGGAGGCATGATTTACATATCATGAAATGTGACCATTATGTCCATGTAGTGTGAATTTTGACAAATGTGTACAGGGGCATCCACCACTATTCAGGTAGAGAGCAAGCCCGCCACTGCCAGGGCTCTGTGTTCCTGGGTCATGTGTTTGTTGTGCTCTCCTGAAACATCAGTTCATGCTGAGGTATCTCATGATCTTTGCATTCGTAAAGCAAACCCCATTTATTAGTACATGTTTTCTTTCATATAGTTCCTTTCATTAAATTTACACATTGTGCTTACACTTTGCTGGTATATTTATACTGTATTTGCCTCTGTAGTTGTAAATATTGAACATATGGTTTAAAACATACAGTCCCGGGCCTCCCCGGTGGCACAGCGGTTGAGCACTGGGCTGCGAAGCTGTCTGCAGCCTCTGCTGCGCCGGTTTGATACCCGGCTGCTGGCGAGGGTCCCACATGGCGCGCAGACCTCTCCTGCTGCCCGCTGCTCCCCTCAGCAGTGTACTTCGTCAAGTCTGCCTGTTCTGCTCTCCTCTCTGGCTCTGGTGAATTCTTTCATCCTCCCGCGCTTCTGACTGTACCCAGTGCTTATGTAAATAAATAAATCTTTAAAAAAAAAAAAAAAAGTAAAACATACCGTCCCTTTCCACTTTGTCACTGAGATTATTCTATCCTTCTGCAGCGGTTTGTAAACAGGGCTTATTGTTCTTTGCAGAGTTGGTGAGATTGATCTTAATATTTGACTTAACTGATTTAGTATGATTAATGGTTATTGATTTCTTAGGTTTTTAAATCTTCTTGAGTCCCTTTTGGTAATTATTTAGAAAATTGTTTCATCCATGTGTTCAAGATACTGGCTTCAGACTGTTTATAGTGGTTAACTTAGAAGTTTTAAAATCTTTATTCCATATATGATTATTTTCTTAATTTTGTTTATATACTTTCTTTTTTTTCTTGCTCTCGGTTTCTTTGTTTTTATTTGTCTTTTTGGAGAGTCAGCTTGTATTTTTGCTGAGTTTCTCTATTTTTTTAGTTTTCTGGTTCCTTGAGTTCTGATCTTATCTCTATTGTGGTCTTCCTACTTTCGTGACTTTTCTTTGTTACTTTTAGCTTTTGAGTTGAATCCATAATTAATTCACTTCAGTCTTACTTTTGCATAAATGCACTTAAGGCTGCAGTTATATCTCTGGGTCCTGCTGTGGCCACACCCTGTCTTAACATGTGCAACTTTGATAGTTCAGCTCTAAATACTTTTTATTTTCCAAATATAAGAATTCTCTTTTATTCTCTTTTACCTTTCTTTTTTCTTTTTTTGGCTTCTATTATGTTGATGGGATTGTTTTTATTCTCTTATTTTTCCTTTTTGTGGGTTGGAAGCAGTGTGTTGTGTTGCTATTCCTTTAGTGTTACCTACACTGCTGTCATTGTCAGTTTACCTGACGAAACCTGGGCTTACTCAGCACATCAGTTCCCCTCCTGCTCAAGACAGAGACAGCCTGAATGGGCATGCCCCTTCACTGCCCCCAGCTTTCCTTCTTATTGTGCCTAGAATTTTATTTCTTCTTTTATTAAAAACATACTTTCATAGTTACTACTTTTTTGCCCTCAATACTTAATTAATTGACTCAACAAAATTTTCCAAATTGTATCAGAATTTGGAAAAATGGTTGTTTCTTGAATCTGATACCTTCCTTCTCAGTTCATTTTTCTTCTTAAAAAGTGCTTCTTTAGGTACTTCAAGTAAAAGTCCATGGGTGATAGACTCTTGATTTTGCTTTCCCCCTTGGTCTTGAATTCTATTAATTTACTTTCATTCACCATATTGAATATATTACACCATTTCTTTGACATTCATTTCTTAAACCACCTCATGGAGATGGAATTCACATACCTCAGAGTTCACTCATTTAAAGTGTAGAACTTGATGGCTTTTAGTGATTCACGGACAGCACAGCCATCACCATTGGCATTTTTTTCTTTTTGTTAAATTATTTTGGGTTGAGGTTATGTTGGTTTAGAACACAGTTTTAGGGTTATAGGTTCACACCTCTTCAAATGTCTGTTACCACACCCCTCCACCACCAGAGGCCCAAAAACCTTCTCCCACAGTCTGGGCCCCATAGTCCATTTTAAAATATTTTTATTACCCCAAAAAGAAACCCTACTTCCCTAACCAGTCCTCACCAATTGCTTGCCCCCACTCCTCAGTAACCACTAAGCTGCTTTCTGTCTCTCTAGATCTAATGGTCTGGACAGTCCATGTCAGTGGAATCCCTCAGTGTGCAGTCCCTGCAACTCTACCCCCAACCGGCGTGTGCTCAGGGCCATTTCGGGTTGTAGCACCACCAGCCCCTGTCTCTCTTGCGTGCCCTGTCACTTACCTGTCCTTCGATGGAGAGACATTTTTTAGTTTCCACTCTGGTCGTTGTGCGTAGTGCTGCTGCTTTGGCTATTCATGACAAGCTGTGCTCTAGGCCTTGTACCTCTCCTGGTTAGCAGGAGGCTGTTTCATCCATGCTTTGGGAAGTCTCTTTTTAACGTTCTCTGTTTTCCCAGTGATGGCTCCAACAAGACCAACACGGCACATCCAGCACATGTTTTGAAACACAAAACTAGCTTTTATTCTTCAGCTGAAAATCCTAAAATCTTCCAGGTTTAAAAATATGCCTTGAACTCGAACTTTCAAGCATCCCTTCCCATGAAGGTGGGCCCTCCCTACCTTCCGCATTCCCTTCCAGCACTTTCCTTTTTGCTCCCCCATCTTCAGGTCTTTAAAATACCTCATTTTCATACATGCTTTTCCCGTGCCTCTCAGACTGGTGTCTCAGTTTTTCTTTCTCACTTAAATGCTGTCTCCTCAGAGAGCTTCCCTAACTACCCTAATGAAAATTGCCTCTCCCACGTTGCTGTCATAGCACCTGTTATTTGACTAACAGCACTTATTACAACAGGCCGCGTTTATGTTTATTTCAAGGTCTGTGTGCCCTTTGCGCCTTGCTCTTGCATGGCATGCAGCCAGCACGTGCTTTCAGGCCTGCATTTTGACCGTCGGCCACATGGCAGAGCTGGCCCCAGCATGAGTGCACAGTGGTGAGCAAGCATCCCCTGGAGGATGGCATTCTAGCGGGAGAAGACAAGGAATACATGTAAGTCAGTTCGTGGCATCAGTGCTAGGCTGATGTGGAGATAACAGGAAGGAATTAACATCAAGAGGAAGAACATTCCAGCTAGAGAGAAGCACTGGAGCAGAGTTCTTAAGTCAAGCATGAGCTTGAGTTTCATGGAACAAGACCCCCGGGTCTGTGGCAGGAACAGCGGGAAAGGCTATAAAGGATAAGAGGGCTGGAGACCTAGCCACTGCACCCCGCCTGATGCAGCAATGCTGAGGGGCACCTGGGGTGGAGGACATGGGGTTCGGCACTAGCTGATCCCCTGAGTTTGCCTCAAAGGTTAGTATTCCAGAAGTCTCAGATCACTGCCCAGTTTGGGTTGCATTTCCACCAGGGATGCTGCTTTTCAGTACGTGGTTCTCTCATATGCCCTCAGTTACCTCTAGAACTGGTACGGGCGGGTCGCGGGGTGCTCTGCAGACAGGCTCATCCACACAGATGGACGCTGGGTGTGGAAAGGAAGCGCCCAGCCTGCGCCTTCTGCTGAGCCTGTGTGCGTGCTCTTGGGAGTTCATGTTTCCTAGTTCAGACAGTACTGTGACCTGAGGCCGCTAGGTGGATTGCTCAATCTTTCGTTTCCACTTTCTCGTTTCCCTGTGTTCTAGAGAGCAGTGCCCAGGGGGCGGCGTGCTCACGGTTGCCCAACTTCCACATTTGCCAGAGCAGACGTTTTGCTTGAAGTGTCCTTGCAGCGATGTTTTCATTGTCCACTCACAAGATGAGTTTTCATCTGTCAGTGAATACTTCCTGTGATCCTATTACTTGAACAAATAATTGCTTCTGTATTGTCTGCTTTTTAAAAAAGCTCTTTGAAATGAATCGACTCCCTTTTCTCCTGGCCTTCGCTGAGCACGGCATGATGGCAGAAGCTGTTTTCAGTCTCTGCAGTGGACTTGTGGCTCTCCCAGTTCTGAACGCAGCCAACCCTGCAGGAGGAGGGCCGGGCAGTTCCTCTTAGCACTGGGTATCGGCCGCCCACGCAGGCCGCCGCCAGGGCAGCACAGCAGCCCCGCACAGATGCATGCTTTTCAAAAGTTCATATGTGATCTGAGCTTTGGGATTTGAATTGTATTTCCCCTGGAAAAAATGTGCAGAACTGGTATTATAAATGAGGAAGTTGCTGGGCCATTCTTTAAAGACCTTATAAACCTATTGTGTAGCTGAAATAACCACACATTTCTGATGAAAAGTAGTAGGGATATCACATTTCAGGTGCACTTAGTTCCACTGCGTGACCTTCAAATAGGATTTGGTGGGTTTAGATTTGGGTCTCTAACACCTTAGCTTGTGGTGAGAAGGGTAAGTAGTGGTGCCTAAAGAGGCACAGCCCCCTGCCCAGGCTGTTGAGAGGAAGCCCGTCCCCCATCTTCTGTCTGCACTGAGACCTCCTGAACCCCGTGAGCACCTGCTGCAGCGCAAAGGGAAAAGAAAAGTTCATTTAAAATCATGCATGGGTGTGGGTGTTTACAGACTTCGAAATTTCCTAAACAGATATGAACATTGGAAAATGCCCTTACCATGCAGTTATTACAGACAACAGATTCATATATTTAGCCATCATTTATAATGTGTTTGTTCTTTAAATTTTGTTGTTATTTATTATTTCATGTGTATTTCTTAAATTTTTTATTTTTTACATCATTGTTCATTTTTAAACAATATTTGCTTCCCTCCATCCCCTCAGGTGTAGAACCCAGAGTTTCCTTCCCCAATGCACTCGCGCACCATCACCTCAATCCCCTGTGCTCCTCCCTCCCCCCTTCTGATCCCTCTCCCTCCTCCTCCCCTGCAGGATGTCCCTGATTTATAATTGTCTGGTTTTGCTTTGTTGTGTTTTGTACTGCGTTCTTTAAATTTTTGTGTGTTGGTTTTATTCCTAAAATTATTGATGCTCCTTGTTTTTTAATGAAAGGGATTTAAATCACTTAACTCAAAAAAAAATGTGTGGTAACAATAATTAAAACAGATTTAACTCTAGAATTGTTACATTTTTAATTCTTCACCAGGTATAGGTTATAATTTTTTTTTTAAAGATTTATTAATGTATTTATACAAGCACTGGGTACAGTCAGAGGCGCGGGAGGGTGAGAGAATTCACCAGAGCCAGAGCAGAGAGTAGAACAGGCAGAGTGACGAAGTACACTGCTGAGGGGAGCAGCGGGCGGCAGGAGAGGTCTGTGCGCCATGTGGGACCCTTGCCGGTGGCCGGGGATCAAACCGGTGCTGCAGAGGCTGCGGGCAGCTTCGCAGCCCAGTGCTCAACTGCTGCGCCACCGGGGAGCCCGGTATAATTTTTTGTTTCGGGAGATTTCGCATTACATGAAGCTGGCGTGTGCCTTGGCAGCTTGTGCTGGGAAGCCTCTGCCAGGTGTGTTCCAAAGTCGCTAGTCTGTACGAGCGTGGGCTTTGGGTCCTCAGAACGGTGGGTTCTGATACTGTTCCAGACTTTGTGGCTGCTATGGCAGGCTATGGCAGCCAGGTGTGGGTGTGCGGGCGGTCTCCAGTGGGGGGAGCGGCTTCCCGTTGTATTGCTCTTCTCTGAGCTCTTGTTGTATTGCTCTTCTCTGAGCTCTTGTCGCTGCTGCTGAGTTGCCCAAAAGAGCAAGCTACACTTAGCAGCTTCACTTTTAATCTCACTTGTGCCAAAAGACCAGCAGTGTCAGGTGTTTCTGTGTCATGACCTGGAAAACTTCTTCAGGGGGACTCGGGCACTCATGGCTGAGTGTGTCTGCTTTCACACAGCTGCCTCCCCCCAGGAGGATGTGGGGGGGAGGGGCTGCGTTTGCTTTGTTCCTGCTGTGTCTGTCACTGAAACTTCCCCACATACTTCCGCAGGACTGACTTTCCTCCTGATGTGTAAACACTTCAGGTTACTCATCATACCCATTTTTATTTATTGTTTTTTTTTTTTTAAGATTTATTTTTTTATGCACACAAGAGCTGGGGTGCAGGCCAGAGGTGCAGGGATGAGAGGATTCCCCAGAGACAGAGTGGGGAGCAGAATAGGCGGATCTACTGAAATATACTGCTGAGGAGAGCAGCGGGGTGCCAGGAGAGGTCTGCAGCGCCATGTGGATAGCTCCCTGGCCGGGGATTGAACTCATGCCACAGAGGCTGCAGATAGCTTCATAGCGTTGACGGTTAACCCCTGTGCCACCAGGGAGGCCCCCACACCCATTTTTAGAGCCTTTTCCTGGGGACAGTGCTCTGGGCATCCACCTTCCTGTCCCATCTGGGCACTTGCCCTCTGGGCCTGCCGTGGAGCACGCCTGCCGTCTGTTCCTTTCACTTCTTTTTTGGATCCCGTTTCCACGTTCCTGGGTTTTCTTCTTTCTTGATTTAGTCCCTTGTTTTGGTAGCACGTCTCTGCCACCTGTCTCCTGTCCCCACTCACCCCCAACACCCAGCACCAGACCTCGTAGGAAGGCATCTGGCTGGTCGGAGCTGACTGGCCCTTTGGCTCCCTCCTGGCCTGGGTGGACCCAGACCTGTGCCCCTGGGCACTGCTGTCAGAGGTGTGTAAGGGGCTCCTGCTGCACAAGCCAGACACCCCATGCACCCTGTTCAACACTAGGGAGTCCAAGACCAAGGGAATGAGTTTCTTGTTCCCAAGGAAGTTCTGGAGAGAAATGGGAGCACCATGGTCTCCCTGGGGTTGTTACCGCCCCCTAGCAACTCTAGAAAAAGTAGGGGGAGTTTTGTTTACTTCATAACTGGGAAGTACAGGGTCTCATTTTGTCAGGGGCCAGCATGACTTTAGAATGTTCCGTCACACATTCCTATCTGAAGGTCTGTTTGTAGTTACCCAGGCCTGGGACCTAACTCTGCATGACGCACCAACCCAGACTGTCCTTAGTCCGTCTGAAGTGGTCACCACTTGTGCACCAGAGGGAAGGTGGCCTTGGTATCCATGTAGGGTGACTGACAGACTTTTTTCCTTAATGTAGCACATCTTAATAAGAGAACTAAAAGAACCCCTTGCTGGAGGTGCTGAGCTCAGGGCTGGGAGCCTGGTGCGCTGGGCCCGCGGGATGGTGCCACGGAGCAACATGCTGGTTTTCTGTCATCTTAGGAGTGTTGGTTTTACTCTGCTCTTACGCTGTGCCAGACCTTGTAATTTACCTAGAGAAATTTAACAGGACACAATATATTACAGCAGGACACAATATGTTACAAAGTAGTCAAAGAAAGATTAAGCTAAGGTCACTAGTCCTAACAGAACTTGGTCCAGAGAGCACCTGTATGTCTTTTCTGACCTGGCTATTAAATCAAAACCTGAAATTCTGTTTGCCGGTTTCTCTGCAGCCCCTCGCATGGAGACTCTGAAGCACAGAGGAGAAGCACTGACCAAGGAGCTTGGTGACACCATGAAAGTGAGAGCTGCGTGCGCCAACCTTATAAAATGAACAAAATGTGTGATCAGGGATCTGCTTCCAGCACCCCATGTGTCTGGCCTGCTGGAGCAGTCGTCTTTCCAATGGATCTTTAGTGTATTTCTTAAGTGGCCGTAATGTTGCGAAGAACTACCGTTTCCAGGCGCGTGCTATGTGCCAGCGCCACAGCCTGCTGCTCAGAGGTCTCTTGGCATATTTCTGAGTCTGAGACCAGTCCCTGCTGACACTACTCACTGAGCTTTACTGAACACGCGGCGTGGATCACACACCGTCTGGCTGCGTTAGTCCTTGCAGCAGCCCCTCTGAGAAAGGACGGCTGTTTCCCTACTTCACAGATGAGGAAACTCAAGCACGGAAAGGCTGAGCAGGTTGTTGAAATAAGTAACTGAGCCAGGATGTAAACCCTGGATGTTTGGCCCCAGAACTGCACTCTTAACCACTGGTTATGGCTACACAGCCAACTGAGGTTTAATATTACAGTAAGATTATTTATATTCTTGACATTTATTTACCCCAGACAGGAAAACAGTTGGGTTTCTAGAATATGGAAATTATTTCAAGTGCCTGTAGACTCTCCCCCGTTCTGATAATTTTCTGTAGCGTTCTCTTGTTGATTGTGTTGATGACATAGTTTCCTGGGGTCCTGTTTCTCTTATAGCTTGTTTTGATCAGGAGCTGGAAACCTTGTCGGTCTGGCTAACAGCCAGCCTGCCACCCAATTTTGTCAATAAAACTTTATTGGGCCATAACCATATCCATTAATTTACTCGTCCGTGGCGTCTTTCACTTTCCAACAGCAGAGCTAATTTTGTGACAGATGTAAGGCCTCAAATATTTACTTTATGACTCTATGCTTTTGAAGATTAAGATTTATAAAATGCTCATTATCCTAAAATATGGAATTTTGGACATTAAATTCTTAGCTCTGAAATTCTGTTGCCTCCTGTTCTGCCAAAATTTTATTTTACTACCAAGCATTGTAGATTTTAGTTAAAATTCTTTGGCAAAGATGCACATTATTTATCTAGGTAAATAAAAAGATTGCGAAATACTAGAACATCTATGACTTCCCCAGATTAAGTCTTAGGAAAAGCCTTGACCCCCAAAGTTTAAAATTCTTGTGCTGTGTCTTTGTGTGTGTCTCAGTCTGATATTAATGTTGAGAATAACTGTTTCTTGCTGGTTTTGTTTTTTTTTTAAAGTCCTTGCCTGCATTAATTGAACAAGGAGAAGGGCTTGCCCAAGTTTTAAAGATGCAGCCTGTTATCCACCTCCAGAGAGTCCACCAAGAAGTCTTTTCCAGTTGTCACAAGAAGCCAGATGCTCAGCCTGAGAGCTTTATAATGCAGATAGAGACAACACCCCCAGAGACATCTGCCAGGAAGCCCACTGATGTGGTGCTAAAGAGGAAGCAAGCCGCAGACTGCCCCCAGAGAAAGTGGTACCCACTGCGGCCCAAGAGAATCAATCTGGACACATAAACTCACTCAGGAGTGGTGGGTAAGCATCGTCACCATTGGGATTATAGCCTGGTGTCCAGGTTGGACTCCAGCTACCACACTAGTGATTTCTTTATACAGCTGAAGCGTGATGAAAAGCCTGTTCCTTTCTTCTTCATTCCATCTATAGTAGATGAAAAGCACGTTTTTGAAAACCTGCACAAAACCCATTGTGGGTATCGAGAGGGACAGACTCCTACTGCCCTCACATGCTGAGGGCTCTGGGCTGCCCGCAGCCTGCTGTGGAGCCCACGGTCCTGTGTCCTGCCGGGTCTCCGATGTGCGTCCTTTTGGAAGATCCGCAAGACCGGGCCTCTGGGTGCTGGGAGACAGTCCACTCCACGCAGCAGGAAGTGCCCTCGGTCTGCTGAGGCAGTTTGATTTATCAAGTTCATGTGCAGAAGACAGACCAGTGGACTTTGCCTCTCAAAGTTCAGCTATTAGATTTGTGGGATTATAGAATTTTTTGTATTGTTTTATAAGGCAACGAAGACTGTTGTTGCCCAAGACTTACTCTGAGAAATAAAAATTTGCAAGTAACCAGTGTTTCTTTCTTTCTTTCTTTCTTTCTTTTTTTTTTTGTAATAAATAAGATTTAAATTTTCAGCAATCCTAATGCATTTTTTTCCCCACATATAAAAATAAATGACTGAATCATACTTAAGCCCCAATATCTAACATTAGCAAGACTGAAATTGAGGTAAGTTTCATTTTTAAAAAACTGAATTTAACAAGTGTGAGACGTACCTATTTCTAAAGAATTATTCTGGTAGTGTTTAAGAAAAACAATCAGAACAATCCAGTAAAGTCACTGACTGTAAACATTATAAATATGTTTGGACCAGACACAACAAGGACAGTACTGTTACTCTAAAAACCACTAAAAAAAAATTTCCCTTGTCTTCAGAAACCTGGTGAGGGTCTTTCTCCAATTCCTCCAGCCAGCTGAAATACCGCCAAGCTCACTTCATGTGCAAGGCTATCCACACTTTCTTGGGAGTCTGCTTCTGCGTATACTCGGACTATATCTTCTGTCCCAGATGGTCGAACAAAAGCTCGAGAAAGCCTATACTTCTTCACCAGGTCATTTATTACCTCCTGTAGTCTCAGGGGTGTAATAGCTTGTCTCTCAGCATCAGTGGTGCTAATAACTTGCCTGTCTGCAACCTTAACTTTGAGCTATCTGTTTGGAAGATCCATGTAGAATGCATCCCACTGTTGTACGGTCAGTCCTTTTAGAGCCAAGATTGCCTCAATCACCAGCATGTCAGAAATAGCATCACCAGTTGCCTGGTTAATCAAGTCAATGATGTTTTCAAGCATCTTAGCAGCTTTTCTTTTATTATCTTCTAGGTCTTTTGCTAGTTGTCTTATCTTTGTTTCAGCAGCTTTACTAAATAGTACCATGCCATGCCCATTTGCTTCAAAATAAACCCCAATGTCAAATTCTTGAGCCTTGTGGTGCAATTGTTTTACACCAGTTTTAGTACAATAGACAGGTACCTTCATAACTTCTTCAAGATACCTTGTTGAACTTCCATTTGCATAAGCAGTTTGTATAACACCAATATTCAGATTTTCTCCAATCTCGGAGAGGAGCTCTTTAAGGAAACTGCTAATTAGTGTTGCTGTTTTATCTCCATCTATGAGATGAAAATGACCATCAGCATCATGGTAGTAATAAACAATTCTGTCAGCATCTCCATCAAAGGAACAGTATCTCTCATTGCACTTCATTTCCATTCCCTGTGGAGGTTTCTGTTGACTTTTCACAAAGTTGGCCCCACGTAGAAGATTGAGTTTCCCTTTGGTTCCATCATTAAAAAGTTGCACTGACAGCCCCTGGGAGAAGTAGTGCTCCATTTCCCTTAACTTCAGGGCCCTTATGCCATAGGCACAGTCCATCTGAAGGGATCTATGTTCATCTCCACTACAGGAAGCCTGTTTAGTAAGTTCCATGAAGGCCTGAGAGCTTCTGGTAATAGCCTTCTATGGTTGCCTTTCCATATTGGCCACTGGTGTTTCGACAGCACACCATGTAGTGCAGTTGGGGCGTTGTTAACAAGCCATAATCATGGAATTGACCTCCAAGAGCAGTCACACCATCTATTACAGACGGGGAAAATTTCTCACTGCTGGGCCTGGTATCTCTACCAATCACTATGAAGGCATCTTGTTGCAGATTCACAGCTTTGTTCTCACTGATGTCCATCAACACTCAGCATATTTTGTTGCTCAGCGTTTGTCAAACAGGTAGCATGTTCCTCCCAGGATGGTACCAACATTTCACCCAAAAGATCAACCAATTTTACACCATTGTCTTCCTCAGGATTGTGCGATGCCGTTACCATAACCCCTACTGTAGATTTTGTCTGTTTTGACCTCAGGACAGCTAATAATCCCATTCGAAACATGACATGATCAAGATGTTCTGCTTTTGTTCGGAATCCAGCAGTCCCATATTGAGAATGAGTCCATTGGGCTTCACATGTAATGCTGATTATTTGGTAACAGCATCTAAATCCTATCTCTACAGGGGGCCTCCTCTGCGCCTCCGCCCCGGGGAGCAACACCTACCCCTAGCGCGCCGAAGCCAGACTCACGGCCTCGGAACCTGCAGACGTGGCTTTGCGTGGCTTCCCTAGCCAGTGTTTCTTGCCCACACTTTTTTTTTCTGTAGGTTTTAAAAATTTTAGGGGCCCTCCCTTGTGGCACAGCGGTTGAGCGCTGGGTTGCAAAGCTGCCCGCAGCCTCTGCAGCGCCAGTTCAATCCCCGGCCACTGGGTGAGGGTCCCACATGGTGCACAGACTTCTCCTGCTGCCCGCTGCTCGCCTCAGCAGTGTACTTTGTCAGTCTGCCTGCTCTGTCTGCTCTCCGCTCTGAGTCTGGTGAATTCTCTCACCCTCCTGCGCTTCTGACTGTACCCAGTGCTTTTACAAATAAATGTTAAAAAAAAATTTTTTTTTTAAACAAGATTAGATTCAGGACTGATTGTTTACTTTCAGGATTTCTTATTAATCTTTGTAAATGATTCCAGTTCAAAAAAATACCAGTTTAATACATTATAAATGGTCATGTGGAATAAATACATGCATCATACTGAACCTTTCCATGTTTCTATGTCAAGGTTACAGTCCTTGGCAGAAATTGCCTGTATGTCTCACATGTAGCCACAGTGTCTGCTGGCCCGGCTGTGTGCTGGCTTACACGAGACAAGGTAGGCAGGGCCACTGATGCACCAGCTGTTTTCCCTTTTAAGGACTATTAATACCTTTATTTTGTGTTGATTTTGTATCCTGCTACTTCGCTAAACTGATTGATGTTTGTTTGGTTTTTCTGTGGTGTTTTTGGGGTTCTCTATATTATCATATCATCTGCGAATAGTGATAGTTTTACTTCTTCCTTCCCTATTTGGATTCCGTGTATGTTTCTTTTGTCTTATTGCTCTGGCTAGGACTTCCAGTATTATATTGAAAAACAATGTTGAGAGTGGACATCCTTGTCTTGTTCCAGATTTTTTTTTTAAAAGATATATTTATTTATTTATACAAGCACTGGGTACAGTCAGAAGTGCAGGAGGGTGAGAGAATTCACCAGAGCCAGAGCGGGGAGCAGAGCAGGCAGAAGGACCGAAGTACACTGCTGAGGGGAGCAGCGGGCGGCAGGAGAGGTCTGCGCGCCATGTGGGACCCTCCTCCGGTGGCCGGGGAGCAGCCGGGGATCGAACCGGCGCTGCAGAGGCTGCGGGCAGCTTCGCAACCCAGCACTCAACCGCTGCGCCACCGGGGAGGCCCCTTGTTCCAGATTTTAATGAAAATGCTTTCAACTTTTCACCATTGAGAATGATATTGGCTACGGGCTTGTTATATATGGCCTTTATGATGTTGAGGTATATTCCTTGTATCCCGAGAATTTCAAGGGCCTTTATCATAAATGGGTGTTGTACTTTGTCGAAAGATTTCTTAGCATCTATTAACATATGGTTTTTATATTTCTTTTTATTGACGTGTTGGATTACATTGACTTTCAGATGTTGAACCATCCTTGTGTCTCTGGAATAAATCCTACTTGGTCATGGTGAATTATCTTATGGATACATTGTTGGATTCTGTTAGCTAAAATTTTATTGAGGATGGGCCTCCCTGGTGGCGCAAGGGGTTAAGCACCGCACTGTGAAGTAATCCACAGCCTCTGCAGCATGAGTTCTATCCAGAGCCGGCCAGGGAGCAACCCACATGGCAAAGCAGACTTCTCCTGTCTTGCCTGCCCCCATCAGCAGTGTATTTCAGTCAGTCTGCCTGTTCTGTACCCCACTCTGTCTCTGGTGAATCCTCTTACCCTTCTGCCTCTCTGGCCTGTACCCCAGCTCTTGTAGGCATAAATAAATAAATCTTTTTTTTTTAAAGATTTATTTATTTATTTATTTATTTATTTATTTATTTATTTATTTATCTATTTATTTATTTATTTATTTATTTATTTATTTATACAAGCACTGGGTACAGTGAGAAGCGCGGGAGGGTGAGAGAATTCACCAGAGCCAGAGCAGGGAGCAGAGCAGGCAGAAGGACCGAAGTACACTGCTGAGGGGAGCAGCGGGCGGCAGGAGAGGTCTGCGCGCCATGTGGGCCCCTCCTTCGGTGGCCGGGGAGCAGCCGGGGATCGAACCGGCGCTGCAGAGGCCGCGGGCAGTTTCGCAACCCAGCGCTCAACTGCTGCGCCACTGGGGAGGCCCCATAAATAAATCTTTAAAAAAAATTTTATTGAGGATTTTTGCATCAGTGTTCATTAGAGAGATTGGCCTGTAGTTTTCTTTTTTTGTGTTATCCTTGTTCGTTTTTGGTGTTAGTGTAATATTGGCTTCCTAAAATGTGTTTGGGATTATCCCGTCTCAATTTTTTGAAAGAGTTTATGAAGGATAGCCACCTGTTCGTTTCTGAATGTTTGGTAGAATTCATTTGTCAATCCATCTGGTCCTGGGCTTTTGTTTTGGGGGAGGGTTTTGATTACCATTTCAATTTCACTGCTTGTAATTGGTCTATTTCTTTTTTATCTAGCTTTGTGTGATTGTAGAGTTGTAGGAATTTGTCCATCTCATCTAGATTGTAGAACTTATTTGCATGTAACTGTTCATAGTAGTTTCTGATTCTTTTGATTTCTGCTATGTCTGTTGTGATTTCTCCCCTTTCATTTGTGATCCTATTTATTTGTGCTTTCTCCTGTTTTTCTTTTGTGAGTCTGGCTAGGGGTTTGTCTATTTTATTTATTTTTTCGAAGAACCAACTTTTGGTTTCACTGAGCTTTTGGATTGTTTTTTTGTTTCTATTTCATTTATTTCTGCTTTGATTTTTATTATTTCCTTTCTTCTACTGGCTTTAGGTTTTTTGTTGTTCTTTTTCTAGTTCTTTGAGATATGAGATTAGGTTGTTTCTTTGAGTTCTTTCTTGTTTCTTGATGTGAGCCTGTATTACTATATATTTTCCTCTTATTACTGCTTTTGCTGCATCTCTTACATTTAGGAAATTGGTGTCCTCCTTGTCGTTCAACTCAAAGTATTTTTTAATTTCTTCTTTGATCTCCTCATTAGTCCAGTGGTCTTCCAGTAGTGTGGGTTTCAATATCCATGAGGTAGGAGTGTTCCTTGCCTTCTTTTTATGGTTTATTTCTAGTTTGAGGCCTTCATGGTCAGAGAAGATGGTTGGTATGATTTCAATCTTGGTATATCTGTTGATGTTTGTCTTGTGTCCCAGTATGTGATCGATCCTGGAGAATGATCCGTGTGCGCTTGAGAAAAAATGTGTACTCAGATTTTTTTGGGTGTAGTGTTCTATAGATGTCTGTTAAGCCCAAGAGGTGTAGATCCTTATTTAGAGCTTTAGTGTCCTTATTTTTTGTCTTGTTGATCTATCCATTGGTGATAGTGGTGTGTTGAAGTCTCCTACTACATATGTATTTTCACTGATGTCTATTTTCAGAGATGAAATAGATATATTTAGTTATCTGATATATTTTGGTGCTCCTTTAGTTGGTGAGTATATGTTAATGAGTGTTATGTCTTCTTGATGGATCATCCCCTTGATCATAATGTAGTGACCATCTGGTCTCTTTTTTTGAGTTTGAAATCTGTTTTATTTGATATAAGTATAGCTGTTCCTGCTTTCTTTATTGGTCCATTTGCGTGTAGGATTGTTTTCCATCCTTTTACTTTCAGTCTATTTTTATCTTTTGTAGATAAATGTGTTTCCTGGAGACAGCGAAAGGTTGAGTTTTGTTTCTTAATCCAGTCTGTGACTCTGTGTCTTTTTATTGAGTTTAGTCCATTCACATTTAGAGTTAATACTGATATATTAGCGTCTGTATTTGCCATTTTGTCTTTTCTATGGTTTTATTTTTTGTCTTGTTCTGTTCTTCGTTCTGTTGGTTCTGGCTTTAGGACTCCTTGTAGTATTTTTTGGAGTGGGGGTTTAGTCGTAATGAAATTCCAGAGTTTCTTTTTGTCTGGGAAGGTCCTTATTCTTTCTTCATAGAGGAAGGAAATCTTTGCAGAATAAAGTATTCTTGGTTGGCATTTGTTGTCTTGGAGTTTGTTGACTATGTCCCTCCACTCTCTCCTTGCCCGTAGTGTTTCTTTGGCGAAGTCTGTTGTCAGCCTGATTGGTTTTCCTTTGTATGTTATCTGTTTCTTCCCTCTTGTCAGCTTCATTAATTTTTCCTTGTCTTGGATTCTTGGGAGCTTTACTATTATGTGTCTTGCTGTATTTTTCCTTTCATCATGGAAGTTTGGTGTTCTTCTTGCTTCTTGTATGTCTATTTTCAGCTCCTTCTTCATGCTTGGGAAGTTCTCTTCGATTATCTCCTTGAATATTTTCTCTGTTCCTGTGTCTCTCTCCTCTCCTTCTGGGATTACTGTAACTCTTTTATTTCCTTTCCTCATGAAGTCAGACAGTTTCCAAAGTTTTCATTCTTTTTCCTTCGTACTTCTCTTTCCTTTTCTGTTTTGGTTCTTTTTATTTCTGTGTCTTCGAGAGTACTTATTCGTTCTTCCATTTCATCTATTCTGCTTTTATTGCTTTTCCCAGAGTTCTTCAGCTCCTCCATTAATCCTTTGAGCTCCTGAAATTTCTTTCACTTTCCTCTTTAGGGACTCAGTTTCATTCTTGTTTGTTGATGATTTTTCCCATATCATTTTTGACTTCTTTCAGTTTTTTAATCATGGCGATTTTAAATTCTCTATCGGGAAGGCTCAGAAGTTCTTCCAAGTCACTGTTGTTGCAGTCTGGTGGTTAATTTTCTTTTTGTGGTATGGCCTTTCCCTGAGGACTTGCTTGGTTGCTTGTAGTTTTTCTTCACCCTGCTGCTTGTTTTCTGATTTTTTTTTTGAAAGATTTATTTACTTATGCAAACATACAGACCAGAGATGTGGAGGGATGAGAGGATTCACCAGAGACAGAGAAGGGAACAGAACAGGCAGATTGGCTGA